AGTGGTGGTTTGTTCTGCAGCAAAAGTGAGCTGATTTAGAGTATGGTGATGGAAGTAAATAAGGACTTTCTTGGTGAATAGCCTAACCCTCTCAAATTTTGGTTTTCTATAAGTTGGAAAGCTTGAGGAAGACCAGTTACTAACGGTTTTGGAAAAACTTATGATGATGGCTGTCACTTTCAATGGTGCTAAAGAAGCCTAGGACTTCTTGGAGGTCAAGCTTCCAGCCTTACCAGTTCCAAGTTTCCAGCCTTATCAGTTCCTTTATTTTTTTTATTGTGGTAAAAATATATATAATAAAACATTTGTCAATTCAGCATTTTTTACATGTACAATTCAGTGACATTGGTTATATTTATGATGTTGTGCAACCATCATCACTATCCTTTTCCTAATTATTCTGCCATCATTAACAGAATCTCACTGCCCCTTAAGAAATACCTCTCCACTTCCCCCTCCCAGCCATCCCTGGTAACCACTAATAGGCCTTGTCTCTACATACTTGCCTATTCTAGATTATTTCATATAAGTGGGATCATACAGTATTTGTTCTTTTTGAGTCAGAGAGTGCTAGACTGAAGGACTTCCAGTCTGATGGTGGTGGGGGCAGGTGGAAAGGAAGGAGCATGGAAAGCCAAACTGGCCCTCCAAGAACCAGGCCCACAGCTATCCCATGAGCCTCTTGGATCCAGCACTGGCCGCCCTGCAATGTAGAAGCCAGGCCTGCAATGACACCCCTATGCAGGCTGGTGGGCCGCCACCCTGCTCTGCCTTGTGGGGGGTTCCGACGTGCCAATATTAATGCTAAATGTGGAGATTCTTATTCAGAGCTGGGTTTCACACCTTCTGGCATTCAATACTAGCCTAGTTTTTAATAAAACAACACTATTTTGGTGCCGCAAACCTATTTTTCGCCATCTGGCGTACCCTTCTGCTTCTTATGTTTCTACTTGTAGTACAGCCTGACAGGAAAAAAGTCACTGTGGGACTATAACCTCCCTACCATCAAGGATATCATTGTACATTAAAACAGGCAAGGTATGTCTCTTCAGGTGTCATCAGCTTAACTTTGAAGAACTCTTTCTTCAAATGTCAGTCGAACAAAATAAAAAAAGTTTTAGCTGATGAAACATTAAGATAAAAAATTAACATTTGAATCTTTTTTTTTTTTACATAACAGATGATGATAATCTTAAAATACCCAAGTAAAAGAAAAACCACCCCTTCTGTCTGAGGGAACGGTGAAATAAGGGCCCAAAGCTCTCCTCTGTAATTTCTTTGGGGGTGACACTAAAGGAATGTAAGGCACTGGGGGAACCAACAGGAAATTAGCTTAATTAGTAAAATTAACTTAATTAGCAAAATCAGCTTCATTAGTGAAAATAATTCTCTTTGGGTCAAGCTTTAAATAAATCTGTAGTAATTTTATGATTCTCTGAATTTTCTGGAGTAGAAGTCTGATATTGGATTGGTGTTCCGCAGTACCTTTTTACTGATAAAGAGAGCTACCCCCAAAGAATATAAATGTCTATAGGGAAGGGATCTTGAGCCTCCTTTCACTCAATGGGCCTCCATTTCTTTTTGGTGCTTGTGTATGTGAGATGAGTGAGTGTGAGTGCATGCAGGGGTGGAGCCAGGATTGGTGGAGCCTGAAGATTATACAGTTTGGGGGGCCTTGGAGCCCTGGTAGTGCAGTGGTTAAGAGCTCAGCTGCTAACCAAAAGGTCTGTAGTTCAAATCCACCAGCTGCTCCTTGGAAACCCTATGGGGCAAGTTCTACTCTCTCCTATAGGGTCGCAATGAGTTAGAATCGACTTGTTGGCAACGGGTTTGTTTTAAAAAAAGAACACAAAATTATGAATACAAAATAAGGCAGGAAAGGAATGTTTACTTAGGATCAGAAAGAAAACACGATCCGTAACATTTAAAATGCTGAGAAATACCGCAAATATTGCATAACCCAGAAAAGTAATATGAAGTTTTGTTAACTGACTGACGTACGAGAGCAAATAAATAATTTGATCTTTTCACTGGCAAGGTTGATGGAGATTTGTTTTTCGTTATTGATAGTTTAGAAAACTTTCAGCTTCACAGTTTGTTACTGATAATGGCATGTACATTTTTAGAACTGCTGTCAAATTTGGGGAAACCTCTCAAATTTCTTTCATATAATAGCTGTAAATTTTCGGGGCATATCAAATTTCACGTACAGGGACAAATCTTAAATACTCTTTGAAATAACAATACTCATTAACCAGTTTGACTTCGCCATCCTTGTTGTAGAGAGCCATTATGAGATTTATGTTATCTTTGTCAATGTCAGTATTTTGGTCAAATCAGCAAGAAATTTAAATCTTTCCTCAATCTGTTGATATGCTTTACTTGTTTTCATTAACTGGATTCTTAAACAATCTGACCCCATACATTACCTCTATTCAAAATTCACCTCTTTTGTGTGACCAGAAACTTTTTTTTTTTTTTTTACAATTTACTTCTCAATGTCAGAATAGTTTCTATTGGTTTCATAAAGAAATATTTGAAAAGTATTTTCATTTTATGGTGAATGTGCAGTTATATATTCACTGCATTATTATTTCCTTGACAGGAAAATCTTCCCTTTGGAACTGCATTCAGGTTTACACATTTGATTGGAAGAATTTTCCACAGACTAGCTTCTGGCTCTGTATATTGCAAACCTTGTTTCTCCTTCACCATTCACATCCTGGATGCTGTAGGACACCTACATATCGCAATACTGTGTCATGATGTCAGGTGAGTTGTCACAGTGGGCAGAAGGACTATTCCTGGAAGTCATTCCTACCCCAAGATGGCCAGTAATAGCTATATGTGTAAACATATCCCACTCAACTCCCTTTAAATGTATCTCCAACTCAACTTCCCCTTAGCCAGATCCCAAAGGCCCTTAGCCTCTCTAATGCCACAGCACATGAGGGGAAGTGTGACAGAGGGGAAGTCAGAGGGCAAAGAGACTGCCATCTTAAGCAGTTACAGTTAAAATAGTTCACGTTTGCAAATTTTCATATGACCGTGGGAATACCTTTCTAGGGCTCCTCCAATGGCCCCTGAAAGGATCTTCTGCAAATGTGGGGTCCTGAAGCTTAAGCTTCATTAGCGCTGTGTAAGTAGTGTGGAGTTCCTGAGTGGTGCAAATGGTTAAAGTGCTAGGCTGCTAACTGAAAAGTTAGATGTCTGAGTCCACCTAGAGGCACCTCAGAAGAAAGGCCTGGCCATCTACTTCCAAAAAATCAACCATTGAAAATGCTATGGAGTTCTGTTCTACTCTAACACAAATAGGGTCTCCATGAGTTGGAACTGATTTGAAGGCAACAGGTTTAGAAATCTCGGTGGTGCAAAGTTAACGTACTTGGCTGCTAACCAAAAGGTTGGAGGTTCAAGTCCACCCAGTGGTGCCTAGGAAGAAAGGCCTGGTGATCTACTTATGAAAAATCAGCCATTGAAAACCCTATGGATCACAGTTCTACTCTGACACACATGGGGTCGCTAAGAGTTGGACTTGACTCCAAGGCAACTGCTTTTGGTTTTTTTTACTGGTAAGCACGGTGTGGGAATTTTCTTTTCCTCAGTTAACAAAGGGCAACAGAATACCAAAGGGCCGAGTTCAGAGGGCTTGGATCTGTGTCTCCGCTTGAGCCTGGACTCCCTGTGACTTGAACAAATCACTCAACTCTGTCCACCTTGTGGTCCTCCCATCACGTAATGGGACCCCCTAGTCCTGACCCCTTAGTCGGCCATGTAAACCTCAAGGCCTTTAGAGGGCACCACATCCTAATTCACTGGCAAACCCCTGGTGGCTGGTTGACGGCGAGGGCGGCAGCTGTGTTTGGTTGCCTGGGGACTTCGAATCTCGCTGCTGGATTCGCTCACTGGGGTTTTTAGTGCTTTACGCAATCGTGTTCCACATGAAAAGTCTACGCAAGCAGAAAATATGTAGACCAGACATGGCCTCCCAAAGATCCCACTTTGTTTTGAACAAATGCTTATGATAGGGCAGGAGTCTCAGAGAGCTTCCCAGCTTCCTTACTCAGCTTGAGCAGTTTGTGGAGCTATTTCAGCTTCCCAGAGCCCCAAAAGTCCCCACTCCCCAGCCCCACCCCGACCCCCAACCCCCGCCATAGGCAAAGGTCCTCTGGCTGGGGGTCTGGGCTCCTGAGAGAAGCAGGAAAGAGCTCGCAGGCCTCACAGCCATGGGCCAGGTGATGTGACTACAGGGTCTTTGAGTGCCATTGATTCCACACACAACAAACCATGGGGCTAGAGACCCTGAGGGCCTGGCCCCTCTGAGGCCTGTAAGGGGCCTCCCTGCCACCAAGCCTCCCCTGGGGGACTTTGCCACCCTTCAGAGTTCTGAAGTGCACAGGACACTCCTGCTGTTGATTTGGGGTGTCTGGGACAGGGAGCTCAGTAAGTGATCCTGGAATGCTTCTGGCGGAGGCTGGACCTCAGAGGGTGGCTGGCTTCAGTCAGGAAGCTGTGGGAATAAGAGGGGGCTCTGGGAGACTGTCACTCCCATTGTCTGTGGGTAGGAGGGATGGGGTAAGGAGTCAAAAGCAAAGAGTCTAGGTGAGAAAATCACCCTAATGAAAATTACTGTTGTCAGTACCCACAGCTGAACCTTAGGATACCTCTGGATTTGGCACTGGAGGCTGGCAGGCCTGGCCCTTTATGGGCAGGGCCTACAGTCGCATTCCTGTTGTGGCCTAATTCAATGCTCAATTTAAATAGCTACTGATTGACTGAGGAGTAAATTGGTGCCGGGAAAGTTTGGCAAAATAGAGGATACAAGAGGTTGTGCGTGGAACTGATGTGTACCAGGCAGCATGTGTGTGTGTGTGTGTGTGTGTGTGTGTGTGTGTGTGTCAGACAGGAGGTGGGGGTGGGGAGTGGAGGTACATACATTTTTTTTAATTGCGGTAAAATACATATAACATAAAATTCACCATTTTATTTTTATTTTTTAAAAAAATATGGAACACTTCATGAATTTGCGTGTCATCCTTGCGCAGGGGCCATGCTAATCTTCTCTGTACGTTCTAATAAAATTCACCATTTTAAAGCATACAATTCAGTGGCATTAAGTACATTCACAATGCTGTACAACCATCACCACTGTCTAGTTCCAGAATATTTGCATCACCCCAAAAGGACTCCCGTACTCATTAGCAATCACTCCCCATTCCCCTTACCCCCCAGCCTCTGGTAACCACTAATCTACTCTCTGTGTCTATGGATTTGCCTGTTCCCAACATTTCATATATATGGAATCATACAACATGTGGCCTTTTGTCAATGGCTTAGCATAATGTTGTCAAGATTCATCCATATCATGGCATGTATCAGAACTTCATTTCTCTTTATGGCTGAATAACGTTCCGTTGGATGTATATACCACATTTGTTTATCCATTCATCCATTGGTGGACACTTGGGTTGTTCCCACCTTTTGGCAACTGTGAATAGAGGCACATGTATTTTTATGTTTGTGTCTTGCCCTTACCTACATCCCCCTCTAGGTCCAGTACACTCTGCTAATGCTGGGCTGGGGACAGGTGTTCTGGCACCTGCTTTGACCCACCCACTACCCCAGCAAAGGGAATCTTTGTGTGCTCCAGGGTTGCAGTGCAATGGATCACTTTTATATGGCCTTTCTCACCACGGTCTTGTAACTCCTACCAAATGATTGGGTGTAATTATGCAAATAAGGTGCTTGTGGCCCACCAAAGGGATTGGACAGCCTGTTAATAATGCAAATAAGGTGTGTGAAACACTTGAGGAGGTGGGACCATGCAAATAAGGTGTAAGGAACCTTAGCAAGAGGATTGGTCAGTTTTACCAACCTGCTAGGTTTAAAAGAGAACCAATCCCAGAGGAGGGGGGGACCTCACTATCACCAAGAAAGAAGAGTTAGGAGTGGAGCACCACGTCCTTTGGACCCGGGATCCCTGTGCTGAGAACCACCTCGATGCAGGAGACAGAGAGAGAGAGAGAAGTAACAAGGAAGACAGCAAGAGACTGTGGTGCAGCAGTAGCAAGAGCAATAGTGGGGCGAGGCAGCAGGAACCAGGAGACTGGTGTAAGATGGTTGCAGTGGGGCTAGCCGATCCACGGAGCTAAGCTGTGACACTTGCCCAAGAAGGCACCGAGCAGGACCCAGCAGCAGAGGCCAAGAAGAAGCTGTCCTGATCAAGAACTGTATCATGAGTTGTTCCTGTTACTTCTGAGTCGTTCCTGATTCCAAGTTGTACCTTGTTACTTCTCTAATAAACCACTTAATCGTGAGTAAGGTCTTGAGTTCTGTGAGATGTTGCAGCGAATTAGGGAACCCAAAGATGGAAGGGAGAGTACTGAGGGGAGAGGGAGTAGTTGATGGTAGAGATGATGGAGTGGTGCAGCAGTTTGGAGAAGTTGGACATTTGGGACATCTTTAACCTCTGCCTTATACGAAGCAGCTTTGTGCTGATCCTTATAAAAGAAATTATTCATTTAGGAGTTGAACAATTTCATGAATAAGAATCAGCATAAAGCTGGTTCCTATGAGGCAGAGGTCAAGTATATCCCTGCTTTCTCATGTCTCCATTATCTCTGACACCAGCTGCTCCTCCAGTGGCACTCCTTTTTGCTGTTGGGTTCGATAATTGACTGCCACGTCTCACAGAGCTCACAGACAATACTTACAGTTATGTGGTTTATTAGAGTAAAAGGACACAATCAGAAGTAATAGGATACAACTAGAAGTAACAGGCTATAACTCAGATTCAGTGTCAGGAAGAGGCACATGGGCAAGGCCTGGAAAGGTCTCCGAAGCAGAGGGCATGTTCCTCCCTTCGGCAATCAGGACAGCCCTTGGAGCAGACACACTCCTGGCTGAGGTAGCCCTCACACATCTCCCAGAGAGGACAAGTTCCCAGCTGGTCATGCCCGCTCTTGGCACCGCTCTGTTCTCAGCCAGCTGCCGCTGCTGCTTCTATCAGCCCACGCTACTTCTCAACTCGCACAGTTCTCAACTGGCACAGCTCCGCTCAGTACAACTCTCAGTCAGGTCTAGGAGGGTTTTCAGCACAAGGCTTCCATGTCCAAAGTGATGCACTATCCCTCCCAGCTCTCATCAGCCAGGAAGCCACCAAACCTCCACGTTCCAGATAGGCACCTCCAAACCAAATAACCAAACCTTGCCATCAAGTTGATTTCGACTCATAGTGACCCTACGCACCTCAAAACCAAACCAAACCAAACCCATTGCCGTCGAGTCAATTCCAACTCATGCATCTCTGGGGTGGTCAATTACTCAGGAAATCCCCTAAATTGTTTTTGTTAAAACCAAGGGCAAAAGGCCACACGAGGGAACTCATTGTACCACAGGGGTGCTCTGATTCATCAAGTATTGCCTCAAAGAAAGAATGTCCACCCAGAGTTATTTTGTTTCCTTTCAGGGGCTAGGCCTTTAAAACTCAGATGCCAGAAGAAGTTCTTTTGAAAGGTTCTTCTCCTTTACTCTGTGCTAATACATCCCTAAGGCAAAGAATTGAGAATGGCCTGGCTGCTGCCATGACGACGAGAGGGTGGATGTGCCAAGGACAATAGAAAATACTGGAAGGTGGAGGAGCATAGGGGGACAAAGGTGATATTTAAAAAACATGATTTTGCGTATTTTCATCTTCTTCATCTCTCTCTCTGAATGTGCAGATGATTGGAGAGTGCGACAGTGGGTGGCATGGAGGCCACAACTCAGGAAAGTGGGGAGGGGAGGTCGGAAGGGGCCACCTTCCCTTTCAACATGGCCAGTCTGCCCAGGTTTTTATATGAAGCAAGAAAAGGAGAGACTGTATGTGTAGAGGTGTGGGGGGCATCAGTGGAGGCTCTGCTTGGACAACTAAACCAAGGTGGCCCTTCTTTGCCAAGGGAGATGGGCAAATTGTGATCTTCTGTTCTGAAAAAGGCAACTAGTGGGCCTTGGGGGAAAAAATCTCTCCCCACATCCACATGCAGGGAAGCTTCCCTAGGCCCCTGGATCAATGAACAACCTAGGTCAAGGTAGGGCACAGAGGTGACATGTCTACTCCTTAGAGTTTAATGGCTTGGGGCCCTTTGACTTGTCAAGTCCTCTAGTTACAGAAAACAAACCCCCCTCTGTCCTTGCTCCACCCTGCCCTTTGCTAGACCTTAATTTTTCTGTGAGCTCCATCCCAACTCACCTCACTTGGAATTCAGCATTTACTGAGATGCCATAGATGAGTTGTTCTCAGATTTCCAGATTTCACAGACTAATATATATCTTTTTAAAAGGGACCAAAATTAGTTTGTCAACTTTTTACTGTGCAGAGTCAGAGAATTAAAAAAACAAGACTCACTACAATCAGTATCATGTCACATAGAATGGACATTTGAATTTCAAAAGATCGAAAGGTGCATAATCTCATTACAGTCTTTAAATGGAGCAAATTCCACTTTATGTAAATCTGACTACATTGTCCTGATTTCTCTCATTTTGACCAGCCAAATCCTTAAGATTATGACGTCTGGGGACCAGTTCAGTGTTGAGAAACCACCTCCATGGTCCCTCCCACTGGGGCCCTGGGAGTGTCCCATCTGGTTATCTTGTTTCTTTCTTTATTCTTCCCAGTTTTCTGGGAAAACTCAGGCATTCCTGGGTCTCTGACTCATTAGAAATATACCGCTCAAGTCAGAACCTCTTGTTGCTTCTAGAAATCTCTATATTAGTTATAAGCAACCTTTCTTTTCCCCACAAGAGCCAATTTAGGGGGAGGAAAAAAAATGACATTTATGGGCTGCATTATTTCCATTCCAAATAAAAATAACTTTGTGACCCATGGGACAGAGGGGAATGTATTTCCCTCCAGGGTAGTGTGTCTACGCAAGCAGGTAGATTTACGCTAATGAAAAAACAATGTTGCTTTCCAGTTCATATCTGGCATAGTTGAGAACTGGTCACACTGAGGAGGCTTTCTGATTTTTTTACCCTAAAATTTGTTGACAGGCTGGAGGTAGAGATAAACAGAATACAAAACAAAACCACTTACTACCAGCAGTATTCATTCATTTTTCCCCCATGAATCAACCAGTTACATTTGTTTTGAGCCAATATAGCAAACCAAGTGTCTTAATTATCTAGTGCTGCTATAATAGAAATACCACAAGTGGGTGGCTTAAAGAACAGAAATTTATTTTCTCACAGTTTAGGTAGGAGGCTAGAAGTACGAATTCAGGGTGCTGGCTCTAGGGGAAGGCTCTTCTCCTTCTGTCCTCTCTGGGGGAAGATCCTTGCCTCTTTTCAGTTTCTATTCCTAGATTCCTTGATGATCATGTGGCCTGTATCTCCCCCTCCACTTTGCTTGCTTCCTTGCTTAATCTGCTCTTTTATATCTCAAAAGAGACTTAATACACACCCTACACTAATACTGCTTTATTAACATAACAAAGAAAATCCATTCCCAAATGGGAGTATAACCACAGCTATAGAGATTAGGATTTACAACACATATTTTTGGGGGACATAATGCAATCCATAACATTCCACCCTTTGGCCTCCTAAAATTCATGTCCTTCCCACATGCAAAACATATTCACCCCATCACATCATCCCAAAAGTCTTAAATCAACTCCAAGTCCAAAATCTTATCTTCTGAATCATCTAACTTAAATATGGGTGACTTTAGGTGTATTCCATCCTGGGGCAAAATTCCTCTTTATCTGTGAACCTGTGAAATCTAAAATATAAATTATCTGCTTCCAAAGTACAATGGTGGGACAGGCCCAAAGTAGACATTTGCAATAAATGGAAGAAATTAGAGGGAAGGAAGGGATAATGGGCACCAAGCAAGTCCAAAACCCAGCAGAATGAATTATATTAGCTCTTAAATCTTGAAAATAATCCTCTGTTCTTCAGGACCATCTGGGCAAGGGCCTCACCCTCCAGACTCTGGGTGTTGGTCATGCTCTCCAGATTCTGGGTGGAGGCCCCTTGGCCTTGAGAGGAGGCCCCACCTAATGGGCCCTCAGAGATGCAAACCTCACCCCCTTGGCTTTGGGTGGCCTCATTTTCCTGGTC